TGTAGCAGCAGTAGTGGTAGTATTATTAGTTGTACTATGTGTAATAGTTTCAGTAGTATTAGTAGTAGTATCAGTAGCAGTAGTAGTAGTGATAGTAGTAGTATTAGTAGTATGAATATTATTGGTAGTAGTATTAGTAGTTGTAGCAGTAGTACTATTAGCAGTAATAGTAGTAGTAGTAGTAAATGAAGTAGTAGTTGCTATGGTAGTTCTAGGGATAATAGTTTTAGTGGTAGTATGAATAGTTTTAATAAAAGTCGTAGTAGCAGTAGAATTTTTAGTAGATTTCTTAATCCTAGTAGTAGTAGGAGTTCTTTAAGTAGTAGTACTAATACTATTAGTAGTAGTAGTATTAGTGGTACTGGTATTAGTACTAGTAGTAGTATTTGATGTTAAAGTAGTAGTAGTACTATTGGTAGTAGCAGTAGGACTTGTAGTAGTAGTAGTAGTGGTAGCAGAAAAATTAGTAGTAGTGGTAATAATATACTCTTAGTAGTAGTAGTAGTAGTAAATGTAGTAGAAGTAGTGGTTGTAGTTTCAGTGGTAGGATTTTTAGTGGTAGTATTAGTAGAATTAATAGTAGTAGTAGTTATAGTACTATTAGCAGTACAATTGGTAATCCTACTAGTAGAATTAGTAGTAGAAGGAGTTGTAGTAGTAGTGGTTGTAGTAGTAATAGTAGTAGTAGTATTAGTAAGAGATATATAAGTATTAGTGGTGGTAATAGTAATAGCAGCAGTAGTTATAGTAGTAGTAAGAGTAGTAGTATTTGTAGCAGTAGTAGTAATAGTAGTAATGGTGAGAGTAGTTCTGGTGGTAGTCTTCGTAGTGGTAGTATGAGTAGTATAAATGGTAGTAGTAGTAGTATTAGTATCAGTAGTAGAATCAGTAATCCTAGTAGTAGCAGTGGTGGTAGTAGTAGCAATGTTAGCAGTAGCAGTAGCAGTAGTTGTTTTATTACTAGTAGTGGTAGTAGTTGTAGCAGTAATACTAGTAATATTAGTCATTGTAGCGGTAGTTAAATTAGTGCTGGTGGTAGTAGTGTTAGTAGTAGTAGTAGTACTATTAGTAGTAGAATTAGTAATATTGGTAGTATTAGTAGTGGTAGTGGTAGTAGTGCCAATAGTAGTCGTAGTAGTGTTAGTAGCTGTAGTAGTATTAGTTGAAATAGTAGCAGTAGTAGCATTAGTAGTATTAGTAGTAGTAGTAGTAGTAGTAGTAGGACTAGAAGGGCTATTAGTTCCCGTAGTAGTAAAAGTAGTAGTAGAAGTATTAGCAGCAGTAGGTGTAGTAATAACGGTTGTAGTAGCAGTAGTAGTAATTTTATTAATATTATTATTAGCTGTAGTAGTAGTAGTGGTTGTGCTTGCAGTAATAGTCGTAGTAGTAGTAGCAGTAGTAGAAGTGGTAGTAGTAATGGTAGAAGTAGTATTAGTACTAGTAGTAGAAGTTTTCGTTGCCTTAGTATTAGTAGTATTAGTAGTGGTAGCAGTTCTTCTAGTAGTAGTTGTATTAGTAGTAGTACTAGTAGTAATAGTATTATTTGTACAATCAGTAGTATGAGTATCAGTAGTATTAATAGTAGTAGTAGGAGTTGAAGTCGTAGTTGCAATAGTTGTAGTATTGTTAGCAGTCGTAGTAGCAGTGGTAACTGTGGTGTTAGTAGTATTAGTAGTAGTAGTCGTAATAGAAGTAGTAGTAATAGTACTAGAATTCGTTGTAATGGTAGTAGTAGTAGTATGAGGAGGAGGAGGAGGAGTTCTAGTAGTAGTAGTAGTCCTAGTATTAGTAGTAGAAGTGGTAGTGTTATCAGTAGAAGTATAATAGTAGTACTAGTATTATTAGTAGTGGCAGTGGTAGTTATATTTGTGGTGGTAGTATTAGTAATAGTAGTAGTAGTAGTAGCATTAGTAGTACTTGTTGTAGTAGTATTAGTATTAGTAGTAGTAGCATTAGTAGTACTTGTTGAAGTATTAATAGTATTAGTAGTAATAATAGTAGTAGAAGTAATGGAATTAGTAGAAGTAGTAGTAGTATTAGTAGTAGTATTAGAATTATCAGTAGCAGTAGTAGTAGTAGCAGTTGTAGTAGTAGTAGTAAAAGTAGTATCAGTATTATTAGTAGTAATATTTTTGATTTTGTTAGTGGTAATTGTAGTGGTCTTAGTAGTCGTATTAATAGTAATATTAGTAATAGTAGTACTAGTATTATTAGTAATGGTAAATGAAGCTAAATTATTGGTGGTAGTATTAGTAGTACAGTGATAGTAGTAGTATTACTAGTGGTACTAGGAGTAGTAGTAGTAGTAGTAATAGTATAAATAGTAGTGATAGTGGTAGTTATATTTTTGGTGGTATTATTAGTGTCAGTCAGTATTAGAAGTACTGGTAATTGCTGTAGTAGTAGTGGTAGTAGTAGATGTGGTACTACTATTGTTGACATTTTTATTGGTGGTAGTTGTAGTGGTAGTAAACCGAAATATTTTGAAAAACATCAATTTCAAACATGATACGCAACATATATTATTCTGCCTTTTTAGCTAAACACTTATCAATGGCAGACAAACGTTCCAAAATGGGAGGATGAGAGTAATTGCACATGGAGTATAGCCAGTCGGAAACAGGGAAGGATAAGTTATCCTTATGAAGGATTATCAGGGCCGACTTTAAGTAAGTTCCATAACTAAGACCAACTGCAAAGGCATCGGCTTGAAATTCAAGGCGTCGAGATAATACTGTCATCAAAAAGTCCAGAACGGTGTTATATGGTGGTAGTATTAGTAATAATAATATTATTTGTAGTAGTAGTATTATTAGTAGTATTATTAGTAATCTCTGTAGTAGTAGAAGTAGCAGTAGGAATTTTAGTAGTAGTAGTAGTATTAATAGTAGAAGAAGGATTAGTACAAATAGTAGTAGTTGTGGTTGCAGTAGTAGTATTGGTATTAGTGGTAGTATTAGTAGTAGTAGTGGTAAATATAGTGGTAGAAGTTGTGGTAGTTCTAGTGGTAGTTTTTGTAGTGAAGGTATTAGTAGTAATAAAAATAGTAGTAGTAGCAGTAGTTATTGTAGTGGATTTAGTAATCGTAGTAGAATTAGTAGAAGTAGAATTTGCAGCATTAGTATTAGTATTAATAGTAGCAGTAGTAGCAGCAGTAGTAGCAGTAGTATCAGAAGTAGTTGTATTAGTAGTCGCAATATTAGTAGTCGTAGCAGAAGTAGTAGTAGCAGATATTGTAGTAGTAGTAGTAGTGGTAGCAGTAGCAGTGGTAGTAGTAGTGATATTAATAGTATTAGTAGTAGTATTAGTAGAAATAGTAGATGAAGCATTAGTATTAGAATAAGTATTTAGAGTAGGATAAAATGTAGTGGTAGTAGCGTTAGTAGTATAAGTAGTTGTAGTAGTAATATCAGTACAATTAATAGTAGTTGTGGTTGCAGTAGTAGTATTAGTACAAAAAGTAGTAGTTGTGGTTGCAGTAGTATTATTAGTAGCAATTATACTACTTTTAGGAGTAGTAGTAAATGTAGTAGTAGTAGTGGTAGTGGTTCTAGTGGTACTAGTTGTAGTGGTAGTAGTTTTAGTGGCAGTATCAGTTTTATTAGTATATTATCATTATTATTATTATTATAAATATAATTAGTGATCCTAGTAGTAGTAGTAATAGTAGGAGTCGTAATGTCGTCAGTAATAGTAGTAGCAGTATTACTATTAGTAGTAGTAGTATTAGTAGTAGTAGTAGTAGTAGTAGTAGTAGTAGCAGTAGTAGTAGTATCAGTAGTAGTAGTAGTAGCAGTAGTAGTAATAGTAATATTAGTAGTAGTAGTAGTGGTAGTAGTATTCGTAGTATTAGTAGTGGTTTTAGTGATTGTAGAATCAGTAGAAGTAGTAGCAGTAGTAGTATCAGTAGCAGTAGTAGTAGTGTTAGTACTATTAGTAGTAGCGGTTCTAGTAGTAGTTGCAGCAGTAGTACTATTAGTAGTAGTGGTATTAGTAGTAAATGAAGTAGTAGTAGCGGTAGTAGTTCTAGTGGTAGTGGTAGTATTAATAGTAAAAATAGTAGTGGTAGTAGTAGTACCCTTAGTAGCATAATTATTAGTCCTAGTAGTATTAGTTGCAGTAGTGGGATTTGCGGTAGTAGTAGTAGTAGTATTAAAAGTATTAGAAGTAGTAGTAGTAGTAATTCTAGTAGTGTTAGTAGTAGTAATAGTAGTGGTAGATGAAGCATTAGTACTAGAAATAGTAGTAGTGGTAGTAGTAATGATAGTATTCTTAGTAGCAGCAGTAATAGTAGCATTAGTAGATGTAGCAGTAGTAGTGGAAGAAGTGGTAGTAGTAGAAGCAAATGTAGTAGAAGTAGTGGTAGTAGTTGTAGTGATGGCATCAGTAGTCTTAATAGTAGTAGTAGTAGTAATAGTAGTAGGAGTTGTATTAGTAATATTAATAGTAGTAACAGAAGGAGTAGTAGTAGTAGTTGTAATAGCAGTAGAAAAAGAAGTAGAAGAAGTTGTTATAATAGTAGTAGTACTAGTTGTAATAACGGTAGAACTTGTTGTAGTAGTGGTGGTAGCAGTAGTAGTAGTAGTAGTAGTAGTAGTAGTAGTAGTATTAGTAGTATTAGTAGTAGTAGTAGTAGCAGTAGAAGTCGTAGTAGTGGTAGTGGTAACAGTGGTAGTAGAATTAGTAGAAGTAGAAGCAGTAGTAGCAGTAGTGGTAAAAGTAGAATCAGTAATAGTAGTATTAGTAGTGATAGTAGAACGTGTATTAGTAATAGTAGTGGTAGTAGTAGGAGTAGGAGTAGTAGTAGTAGCAGCAGCAGCACTAGTAGTATTAGTTGTAGTAGTAGGAGTAATTGTGGTTGAAGTTGCAGTAGTAGTAGTAGTAGGAGTTGTAGGAGTAGTAGTAGTAGTAGTAGTAGTAGGAGTTGTAGTAGAAGTAGTAATAGTGGTATTAGTACCAGCAGTGGTAGTTGTGTTTGCAGTGGTAATAGTAGTAGTATTAGTGGTAGCAGTAGTACTAGTAGTGCAAGTATTTCTAGTATTAGTAGTTGTAGTAGAAGGACTAGCAGTAGCACTCGTAGTAGTAGTATTATTAGTAGTAGTATTGTTAGTAGTAGTGGATGTAGCAGTAGTACTACTAGTTGTAACATTAGTAGTAATAAATGGAATAGTAGAAGCGGTAGTAGA